TTTCATATTTCTAGTGAAATATCCACGCGCCTATTCTACTTGTATAAAATCAATGTTCCGCCGAATTAGGCGCCGAAGAAGGCCGACTATCCATCATTTGGCATTCCCATTGACGCTTCCTAAATGGATATCAACGTTTTGGAGGTGCCAGCGGGACACATTTTAAAAATATGGAGGCAAGAGGGAACGCAAGGAGCTGTGAATGGCTTTTCGGGTGGAAAATGACGCGCGCCACGACCTGTCTGTGAAACGATTTTGGGGAAATATCGGTCACAGAGAAAAAATTGCCTAAAGTGGGCAATCAACCAAAATTAAAACACTTTGACAAGAAAATATAACAGAGTAACAAATCGGAATTAGTGTCACTTTTTTATAAATCATTTCATTGGTTTTTAAAGGTAGGCAGCTCGGTAGGCAGCATTTGTATAAATATTAATAAATGTTTTATATGTGTTTTAAAATAAAAATTATTTCATTAAAACTTTGCTATCTACCTACTGTAACACAATGTTAGGAACTGGCCTGTTATCTTTGAATGCATTACAAGAAAATATCAAATCTTGTCTAGTAAAAATCACGAAGATCAATTACATTTTTTCATAACCAACACAAAAGTGAAATAAAAAATTCTATCTCAATGTAAATTGAAACAATTAAAGGGTCTCTAAAGAAGGTAGCCTTGAACATTAATTTACAGTTAGTTGCAATAAAAACGGAAAATAGAATTTTCTTTAGATTGAAACAGGTTTTGCCCTTGTCAATTTAGTTGTCAATTTGTTATCTGTCGCATTCAAATAATTTTTTCTGCAATTCCGCACTTAAATGCCGAGAGCATCAAATGCATATGAATTACACAGGGTGACAAAAAAAAAGTCATGTCGTGACAACTTGACAAATTTTATATGATTTTGTTCGTCTCAGTGAGACAAATCAAATACATTAAAAAAAAATGAAAAAGTCTACACACTTTGAACAAAATATTTTTTTTTCTAATTTAAATGAATTTAAAATACTTTATCTATAAAAAATTATTACTCAATAACTATTAGGCCGATTTCTGCAAATAAAGACCACTCTAAAGCGATGGCCTTGCCCTTTAGAATGATATAAAATTTGAAATTGAATATTGGCAAACTTTTCTACGAACAGTGTTCGAAGAAGTTCGAAGTAAATCGAAATAATCTAAGAAAAACCCTACAAGTTTTTTTTTCATCATTACCATCGTGTAGAGCGTCTCTTTATTAGTTGTAATCCAAATTTTCAAAAGAATATACCGAGTAGTTTTCAAGATATGATTTTTTGAAGTTATGGTTTGCTAATCAAGCATTGCTCCATATAAGAGAAATGCATGTTAATCTTACTTAAAATTGCATTTTTATAAAAGTATTTGTTTTAAGACTCTTCTTTTGCTTAAAAATGGTCAATTGCACCTTCTTTGTTCTAATTAGAATAAACAAAAACTGTTTGTTTACTTAAAACAAATAAAGAGTAGATGCGTACTAATTAAAGCAAATAAAGAGTTTTTTGTTGCAAAAATGACCACTGATCATTGAGCAAAAAGGATCTACAAGTTTAAGGCACGATCCTTAAATATAAGGGTAAATTTTTTCAAATCAAATCATTTTCCATTCAGATTTCGACTTTGTTCTAGCTTTCTGAACTTTTTTTGAAAGCAAGTGCTTTCTCATCTCTTTTGAGTGATGTTAAATGCATTAAGTCACTTGATTTATTTTGTTGGTTTCTGCGATTAGATTCAGTCAGCTTGTAGGTAGTAGTTGTTGTGATAACAGTGTGTAAAGTTGTTTATTCTAATTAGGACAAAGAAGGTGCAATTGACCATTTTTAAGCAAAAGAAGAGTCTTAAAACAAATACTTTTATAAAAATGCAATTTTAAGTAAGATTATCATGCATTTCTCCTATATGGAGCAATGATTGATGATTAGCAAACCTTAACTTCAAAAAAGCATATCTTGAAAACTACTCGGTATATTATTTTAAAAATATGGATTCTTACTTCGCCACGATGGTGACGAAGAAAAAAAAATACTCGTAGTGTTTTTCTTAGATTACTTCGATTTACTTCGAAGTTTGCCAATATTCAATTTCAAATTGCATATCATTCTAAAGGGCAAGTCCATCCAATTGTAATTATTTGAGATATTTGAGGTAAATGTCAGCGTTTGTTTAATAAGTCCATTATTTAATGAAATAATTAACATTAGGTACAAATTGAAATTGACGCATTATTATGACTCCCATATAAGTAATTTTCTGGTCTTTATAAGATCAGAATAAAAGCTTCTTAACGTTTATTGTTTTGTTCTCGATGTAAGATGCAACTTTGTTTTATCGACGGCTTGAATTTCAACTTTTTCTTTTTTCTTACCTGGAAGAATGCATACGATAGTTTTAAACCCTTAAAAAAAACTCAATGTAAGAAAGAACTTGTTCATGCTCTTTATGTTTATGAAATACTGATTTTGTATCCCTTTTTCTTTCCGCTTTACCCATTGTTCTTTAGAAAATCGGTTTTATACTGATGTACAAAAAAATTGCAAGTTTTAGATACAACAACCAAAAACATTGGAAAACGTTATGATGAATGACTACACTGCATGTAGAAAGTCATTTCCAAACTATTACATTAAATTTCAAATGCCTTTGCAAAGAATATTACTTACAAAGCAACACTTTCATAAATAAACAACTTCTAACTCGTAGATATTAAATTTAACCCAAAAAAATTTTGTCATCGCGATGTAAACGTGGTGAGGAGAAACGTCAGATGACGCACCGGTCTTCCCCCGTGATTTTTATCATATTATCTTTTTTCTACTCCCTTTTCTACACATGTCACATTTTGCATTGATAAATAGTGTTGGCATATTTTGTTGACATATCAAGTTGGTAGTTTGACATTTATCATTTTGGCATTCAGCGTATCTAAAGAAAATCTAAAGAAAATTCTATTTTCTGTTTTTATTGCAACCAACTGTAGTCATACACAAAAAACTATTTTTTTATAAACGGGTGCTCTAAGGACTTACTTTTCAGAGAAAACTCATAACTTTTTTACCTTAGATAGGTGTTACTATTGTGACCTAAAGACTTTGTAAAAAAATAAAATTGTTGCAATATTTTTACAAAGTTAGTAGCTTTATTTAATTTGCAAGAAATTGTCAAATTTTGACAAGTTTACAAAGTACTATTTGTTTCTTTGATGACAGGGCAAGGTAATTTAAATGTTGGATGAATGATGTCCAATTTTCAAATTCTTTAAAAAATAAGTAATTTTATTAGTTTTTGCGCGATTGAGCTCTATTTGATTGATTACCACGTCTGTTTCCAAGACAGTAAGTTGTATTTACTCGATGCTATCCCAAACTTGTCGGTAAGTATTTTGTTTATTGTTGCTAAGTCGGTATGCATTCAAAAATTACTTTGCCGTTCTAGAACAAAAAAACTAACAAAAATCTATCACCCAAAAAATGTCATAAGCATCACGAACGTTAAGGACTTACCGATCTCTTCAAGCTTAATATAATATTTCTCGTAGTTGAGCAGCAAACTTTTGTAATTGGTTATTTAGTGCAATTTTATAAATTCTAAAATTAAATTATTGTTACAAATTAAAGAATGTCCAGTAACTAAAAATACGGTTATTTGTGTTTCTCTTTGGTGAGTAATTCGGTTATACCTTGACCTTTTCGACACACCTGATATACTTACTATTTTCTTGTATAATAATATATATTTATTGGACGAGTTTGAGTGTAAATCGGTCGCTTTATTTCACAAGTGGATGTTTAAACCACGAGTGTTAACCACGAGTGTTAACCACGAGTGTTAACGAGTGGTTTATCGCCCACGAGGTGGAATAAATGAAACGATTTACACGAAGACGAGTTGAATACAATATTTTATTCTTCGAATTATATCCAACAAGACTTAAAATTGCTTTAAATCTGTTAAAAATAATCTGACGTTTCGTATTAGGAAATGCCAAACAGTTGGCAAAACTTATTTACACAGAAAAAAAATCGTAAATTTTGACAGTGTCGAAGAATAATATAATTAAAGTTGTACCGTTAACGATAACATTAAAACAAAAACAAAAAAATGTCTTCCTCTTTCTGTTTCCTTAGATAAAAAATGTAAAAGAGATTGCTTTTTAACAGTCTCTGATTATTCTAATATAGGAAACAATTTCTTACAAATATTAATAAACAAACCATAAAATATAAATTATGAATAAGTTATCAATCAATCCGATTTGTTTTTGTATTTGAAAAAATAAATTTTAATACATGTCAATTCTAAAGAACTGTCAAGTCCTGAAGTTTGTTTAGAAAAACAGTCATTTTTAAATAAGAATTAATGATTGTGTTATGCAATATTTAAAACAATGCAATTGCATTTTTTTTTGCTTTTTGGTAGTTTAAATGCTGCTCCTGATTTTAATGTTAACAAATTTATATAATTTTCACCTCATTTAATTCCACAAAAATTCAAGAATTTGAAATAATTTCTAAATCATTAAAATATATCTTTAATTTATGGAATTATTTGAAGTTAAACATTTGTAATGAAACTGTTTAAATAGCTTTAAATAAATAAAAGTTTAATTTTTAACTTAAGATATAATTTTTAATTTGTTACTTATTAAAGAAAGCAAAATACCCGTTTTCAATTATAAACAAAAATACGATAAATCATACGATGATCAGTGTTTTAAACGGATTGATTTGGAAATAAAAATGTAAAAATCGTCATCGTTTAGTTGTTTTTAATCTCGGTCCGAATGATAAACTTGCGTAATATATTTCAAATAGGGCAATTTGGCTCATCCTGTGTAATGAAGCTATATTCCGCCGACATTAATTTTAAATTTTCATCTCTGAAACCGTGGGGAATAAATAGACTGAAAAGTTAAATAAAACAGACATAAATTAGAATACTGTAAACTTCCATAAAAGTTGAATAATTTAAAATAACTTACCTAAAATTTCCACGGTGTGCGTGATTTCCCTCGGTTCGAGTGTGCCGATCTGGCAAACGTAGTCGCCCCCATCTTGGGGGGTAACCTCTTTAATTTCCAGACTGTAACCATCAACCAGACTGATACGAGGATCGGGAGATACCTTCACGTTGCCGGCAGAAAGAACTGCGATGCCTTTTTTCCAGGCTAGCACGTACGGACCTGCAAAAGAGAACAGACACTAAGAAATATTGCCAAAGCCAATTTATTGGAGTTTAACTTTAATGGGAAGAATCACCCGCTATGGCATTCGGTGTGTGGCCAAAGATCAGAGATTGCGCCAAAAAGCACTCCAATATAATACAGGGTGTTTGAGGATTGCGAGCAAATATTTTAACCACTAATAGGACTCCTATTCCAACTTTTGTCGAAAGCACGTCATTTTTGAGTTAAAATTAAAAATAAATTGAGGCTGAAAACCCGTCCCCGGCTATGTCTTAATACGATGTTTACATTCATTCATAAGAAAAAATTTTGTAACGTAAACAACGTAAAGACAAAAAAATTATCGCTACATTAGGGTAGATCAGTAACAATGTTAGTGGGTCAATACTTGCTATTATAAAAAATTGCTCGAAATGTGGTCATTCGTTGGCAATGCACACTTCTTGTACTCTTCGGGCTAGGGAAGCTTGCGTTCGCACACACAGCCCTTCGAAGGTATAAATTTGAGCTGCGTACACTAATTCACTAATTGTTTCATGTCAACCCCCAAAAAACATACGTATTTAAATCTGGTGACCACGGTAGTCCTTGGCGACCAATCCATCTCTAGGGAAAATGATTGTTCAATCCATTGGTGACGACTTTGTCAAAATCTGATGGAGCTCCACTTGTAAATACCGCATGTGTCGCCAAGGGCACATCCTCTAACAAATCGGACAACACATTTTCCAAAAAATACAGATAAACGGCTAACTAGTTAAACGTTGAGGTAATATGAGGGGTACAGTTTGGTGATCTTCAATGATTACTGCCCAAACATTTAGTGAAAATCGGTCTTGGAAGTGCGATGTCCGTACACTAGTTAATTTGGCGTTTGAGTTGTTGGCCACAATGACTTGATTGACAATTTGATTTCAAATGGATGTGCACAATTCACCCGAAAGCGCATTAACGACTAACTAAACTAACACGTGTAAACATTTTAATTATTTAATTTTTTTGGACAAAAAGTATCCTTTTTTCTGTATAAAAACTTTCACGGTCAACATTCAATGCAATTTATTTTCATTGATTTTTTTACTTCCAACTAACAAGGACAGACACACTGAACGGCTCGTGAAAATCATAGGGAGGAATTTGCAAAAATAAAATTTGGATACGGAAATTGTTTGGTCTTCAATTTGACTTTTCATAACAAATTCTCTTAGTGGTTAAAACATTTGCTCGCAATCCACAAACACCCTGTATATTTTTAATTTTAAAATTTTTGTTTGTAATAAATTTTATTCATTTGGGAGAAAAACGAAAATCGCAACAAAAATTTATGTCCCGATTCTTGCAAACTCAGCCTTTAATTTTTCTGGACGAAAAGTGAATTTATGAAGTTCATTATTTCGCAAACAAGTCGCTCCTGCATGTGGCTGGGGAATTAGAAGAAGGGAAACACAGGGGCCAATTAAAGGGATGAGTTATATCCATAATCCCTATAAAAATGGACATTTTAACTAGCGTGTTTATATCAAAACGAAATCTCTTTTTCAATTAAGGTCATTATGTGAGAAAAAAGAGATGCAGACAGGAATTTCATATTCAGAGAACGAATGAAAATATTAGTGAAATTAAATGTGACTTTCTCTCATATTGCAGCTTTGTAAATTTATCGGTCCATTGTGTTCTTTGTTAGTGTAAGAATGGTCCAATTTTGAGAATATTGCCATTTTTGTCGAGGAGTATTCTTTGTATGTATATACAAACTTCCTAAAGACCCCTGTGTTTCGCTAATAAAATTTATCACATGCATTGTTGCTAAACTTGTAATGCTGTGTAGAAAAGCTGCACTGCTTTGTTCAAGAATGTGCAGTGTGGCAGCGCAAAGTTCGTTGATTAAAAATTTCATTTGAGAAATTTACGCGCGCCATGCAATAAGAGATTAAATGTTAATTGTGGCGTTCCGTTGGTGGATGTCGAAAAAGGCCACATGGTGCATTAAGTTTGTCTTTGGGAGCGAGTTCATACGTATGATGAAAATTCCGGACTAAGAAGCAAAATAATAAAAATTATGTCGAGTATAAAAACGCGAAATGGAACGGCTACACGGAAAAGCTTTTTCTTTCCAGTTAAACATTTATCATGTGGCACATTTCCGCGAAAAACGTCCCTTTACAGCAATACTGTAAAATCAAAAAGAAATTAATAATAATCGGCTTCACGGGCCGCCGACGTCAGAACAGGCTAGGTGATGCCCTCCACTCGGAAAACAAGATAGGCTTTAGTATTTTTTAATAAATATTTCAAAACTTCTGACAAGTCTCTTTTCCTCAGAATTGTTTTAAACTTTATAATGGAAGTTCTGCACTTCTTGTTTATGTATTTTCTGACAATTACTGCCTTGGGATAGCTCATTACGTGAACGAACTTTTAAAGCTGCGAACTTAGTCGGCCAAAAAATTGTCACCTCAAATTCGCGCGCAACTAATTTCACGGATTGCGTAAACAAATGTTCCGTCCTAAAAACGACAAACTCCCTCTTTTTAATTATTAAAGTGTGGCGAGGAACTTGGAATTGATGTTTTAATTAAAATACCACACATCAAAAACAAGCACCAAAAATGAAACTCATTCTTCGAGATAAACACAAAAGTGCCCGGAAATTCTTGCTTTTATTAGGCTTTGATGTTCATTTTGACTTGATTTTTAAATAACAACAAAAACAAGTGTCTTCATTAAATTTCATAATTTGGTTAGAAATACAGGGTGTTCCAATTTTTTTAAGGGTAAACAGAAACCTAACTATTTTGGCTGTTGCCTCTTGCCACTTTCAGTCACAAAATTCTAAATTTCATAGTTTTTTGGATACAACTTACTGTTTTTGAGTAAAATTAGTTTAGAATTTATCTTACGCAGACCATAAAGTGGATAAAAATTAAAAATTAAATTCGTTTTACAGTTCAAGACGCTCGTGATTAAAAATTTCGACAACTGATCTTTAAATTTGTTCAGATGTTTAAAGATGTTTAAAGATGTTTATCAGCTGTATGAATTTTTAATAATTTTATCTATTCTGAAATGGTGGAAAAACCCCATTAAAAAACGCATTTCTTTCAAGGGGTGTAGCTCGCTTTCATAATATTTTTTGATACATGTTCATAGGAAACTTTTGTCTTAAAATTGTCCTAAAATTGTTTAAATTTGTAATAATAAATACGGCACATCCTGTATAATTTTTTTGCGATCAAGAACGAGTTGGTTTTCGTTAATCTCGTTAATCTATAAGTATAGAGATTAAAGGTGTGGGTCAAGTTGGTTCCTGGGTAAAGGCCGAATTGGTTCCCGCATTAGCAGGTATACATCAAAAGGATTAAGGTATAGGCATGGTTATATTTTGAATTTAAGGCTGGTAGTAATGTTCAAAAAATTGTTCTCTGAAAATTATTTAGAACTGTTAAAAATATTTAAATGTTGGTATGAACACTATAGAAGGACAAGTTAAATTCTGAAGAAAACGCCCCGCGTGTTTTTATGGTTCTTTGCAAAGATGCTAAATTTTCAGCCTACATATGAGGCAAAAACTTTGTATCTTTTGATACACAATTTTCAGCCAAATAATCGATAAATTTCAGCAAGATCGAAGGCTAAACAGTTTCCAACCTCTTCAGAGGGCAAAAGGAGTAGGCCCAAAACATGAGATTATGAGTATGAGATATATTCAATTTTTATAGTCACTCACAAGCCCGAGCACATACGGCCACCACTTAAAGTTGCATTCCTATTATCTTAATACTTAACTACCTGACCGACGAGAAAGAATTACAGATTACAGAATTTGAAAATCATTTTTTGTGGTATGACGCCTGCACATCATTATTATTATCACCAAAGTTATTATGATTGGCAAAGGTTAATACTGTTAGCAAATTTTATTTCCATGCTTTTAATGCTAATGGATATAATATTATTTGAATCATTAAAACAGGATTTAAAATTTTAGTAACATTTTACCCAATTAAATAAATTGCTCTACATAAATTAATATTATAATAATAACCGTATATTAAATATTTGAAAAATTCAATTTGCGTTTACCTAATTTTTTATTTTCATTGATCTAGTCACTAATAGAAATAGTTTTCGGATTGTTCCAAATTTTGCAATAATTATATTCATAATGTTAAAACTTTGAAATACATATACTGGCCGCCAAAATTAACCGGACAACTAAAATTTTGCTATTTTTCAAATTTCAAAATTTTTGTTATTCTTTGTCTGATTTCGACAAATTTTTGTTTAGCATAAAAAAAAAACTTTGTAGATCATTGTAATTGAATTCAATAACATTTTTGGTTTTGTCTTCTAAATGCGACGAAGACACCGTTTTTTTACTTATTTTTGTACTGAGCTGTGGTGTGTGACAGAGACCAACTTAAATTTTTACTAATTTCAAATTATTGTCCAAACTTTTTTAAATTATGTATCACATTTTCCATAATTTAATTCTTGAGACATGAGAGATTTAAGCCCTCAAAAAAAGCATTTCATTTACGATTTCAATGAATGTTTGTATGAAGTAGGGCGAATGTGCCAAATAGGCGCATGGTAGAGTTCCAATAATTAACGGTTTTACTTGTTGCAATCCTTTGAAGTTCCAAGTTTTTCAAATTTTTTGTGTTCAAAGATGTAATTGTGCTCTTTTGGCGATATAAGCAATAATTTTCGGTTGAACTACCTTTTTATGTAGTCTACAACGTTCTCAACGAATATTTAGTACCATTAGAAAAGCAACATCATTTTCAATGCTTTGTATCTCTGGGGCACCAAAAGATAAAATTTTCATTCAAAAAAGAACGAGCAATAATCTGAAATAAGTAAAAATTTAATTTTGTCTCTGCTGCACACTACAGCTCAGTAAAAGAAAAAGTAAAAAAACAGTGCTCTCATCTTTTAGGTATAACATTTACTAGACAAAACTAGAAATGTTATTAAATTAAATTACTATGTTC